TCAGCTTTTATAGAGGTGGTCAAACTTGATGATGATCGATTAAAGGGACTCTCCAGGCATCCAGACCACTTCTGCCCATTGGAGTGGTCTGGGTGCCAACTCCCACTACATTTAACCCTGCAACTGTAAATATTGCAGTTTTCATAAACTGCAATATTTACATTGCAGGGTTAACTCCTCCTCTAGTGGCTGTATACTAGACGGCCATTAGAGGGCACTTCCGGGTTTATAGCACAGATATTCTGTGCTATAGTGTCGCTGGACATCCTCACACTATGTGAGGACCTCCAGTGTCGCTGAAATCCCACATGAAAGCATTTTTCAATGCTTTCCTATGGGGAGGTGTAATGCGCGTGCGCAATAGGTCTCCCCCGCCGCCTCCAGCCGTGCATGCGCAATAGGTCTCCCCCGCCGGATGACGTCGGCGGGGGAGGAGCGTGGGCGGACCCTGAACCAGCGCGAAGGGACATCGGCGCTGGATAAAGGTAAGTCACTGAAGGGGTTTTAACACCTTCAGCAACTTGGGATGGGGAGTGGGAGGGAGAGGGCAACTGCAGTGCCAGGAAAACAATGGGGGTGGGAGGGAGAGGGGACCTGCAGTGCCAGGAAAACACTGGAGTGTCCCTTTAATCAAGGGTGTTTGATTAGCAGCCCCTGTCTGTTACTTAGTCTTTTAATTCCTATGGATGCAGTAAGGATGTACTTAATTTTTCACACATGGCTTCATTTTTTTAAAATAAATCATGACTTGATACCTGGTGCTCTGGTAGCTTGAGAATATAGACAGAAAAAAAAATACCGGTACTCCTAGGCTTTCCAATAAAGTATTCTTTATTCCAGAGGATAAGATGATGAAACACTGATGAAAGCTCTGCAATGGTGCTGAAACGTTGATCTTATCCTCTGGAATAAAGAATACTTTCTTGGAAAGCCTAGGAGTGCCGGTATTTTAATATATATATTGATTTCCTCACCCCTCCTGGATGGTATATCATTCCCACGTCCTCTACAAGGACAGCAGTACCGTAGCTGTTTCTAGAGCTGCACTCTTTAAGACAGCGATCTCAGATGTCCCACTTGGAATCTGTTGAAGCCACTCCATAACTTGGGAGTCACAGCACAAGTGCTCGTATCATCACAACTGGGACTACTACTGCCTTCACTTTCCACATCCTTTCTAGCTCTTCTTTCAGTCCTTGGTATTTGTCCTCTCATGCTTCTTCTTCCTGATGCTATAATTATATAATAACTGGGTATTGCTACATCCACGACTGTAGTCTTTGGGTTCTTGTCTACCACCACAATGTCAGGTTGGTTGGCCAGTACTTGCTTGTCTGTCTGGAAGTCCCACAGGATATATTATTTTATGAATATGAAAATGTAGCCTAAAGTTGTTGGAAGGTTACCCAGCCTATAAATACACAGGCCACCCCTTCCTCTGGGCCAATACTGCCTGGTTCAGTACACAACCATCTACTTCCTGTTCAAAGATCGTCAACACAAACTACCTAAACAACTTTGTCTTGGTTTTGTGAGGCATACGCAAGTATTCATTTTACCTTACTTGTGTAAAGAACAGCCTCCTCCTTCAAAGCTCATGGGGCACAGCCGCATCTGGCCCAGCTGCGGCTTTTCCTGTTGCTGTTGTTCGCGGGTTTTTTTACAACAAAAAAACGTAGGTTTGTTCTTTTGGTCCGCAATGGGCCATGCTATCACTGACATTCAACGCGTATTTGGCCTTTCACAACTAGGGTGGCATTTGCAGTTCAGTTATACGGGTTTTATACACATTATAATATGGAGCATGTCTGTCATTTTGCTTCACTATATGTAAATTGCAACTGCTCTACAACTCAACAACCATTAATCAATCCACGTCCGATCATTTCATACACCCGCTAATTCTCATAGTGCTTTCATGTGGTCACCCCACTACTCGTAATTCGCTATAATCTCTCGTCCTTCTACTCCTATACCTTGACACATTTCCCTCACTAGGCCAACTCCCACTCCACCGATTTACTTTCTATCGAACCCAGGTCGTCCTTAAAGACTGGTTCTACCTCCAGTTCCAACAAAGTCAAAACACAAGGACTTAAAGAGAAATTGGGTAGGCCTATTGTGTTCTTAGGTAAGGTGCAATCTGCATTCACCACAAAGTCGCTACTTCATTTCCCGACTACTCATCCAGCCTCAGACTACTCAGCCTGCTCCCTGGTTACCTACCAAGCAGACCCATTCATGGGGATGAACTTCCTATGCCACTGGAAAGGGAAAGCCAGGTTCATTCACCCACTGTCCAACGTATCCCTGATTATCTGTACTGATGCTGCTGACACACTGGATTTGAAGCAATTTTTAGGAATAATTGGTTCCGTGACATATAGCCCACAGAGACAATGTCCTTTGGTCCTTAAATGGACTCTCCAATGCCAGGAAAACATATCAGTTTTCCTGGCACTGCAGGTTCCTGTAATGCCTCTCTCCCTCTCACCCCCCATCCCATGTTGCTGAAGGGGTTACCTGAAGCCGATGTCCCTCGGCACTGGGTCAGGCTCCGCTCACGCTCCTCCCCCGCCGTCAGCTGGGGGGAGACCTAATGCGCATGCGCGGCAATGGCCGTGCGCACGCAATGGACCTCCCCATAGCAAATCATTACTCCGGCGACGCTGAAGGTCCTCATGCATAGCGTGAGGATGCTCAGCATCGTTTAAAACACTTTTTGCATGGTCCTTAAGAAGTTAAAGGAACACTGTACTCACTATAACATCTTCATCAAGATGAAGTTGTTATTGTGCCTACAGTTGTTCCCTGCTCCCTAGTGAACCCAAATCTAAATATTTCACCAGTGAGACTGGTGACTGAGCTGAGACTGCATTTCCTAACTCTCATACCTTAACATACCATGATGTCGCACGCGTGTGGTCATGGTGTTTCAAAGAGAATCACATGCAATGATTTTCTATGGCAGAGTCAAAGGCACATGCGCCTACAGTCCCTCTCCTGGAGACGCACATGACGCTAGGAGGAAGCTGTGGCAGCACTGAGATAGACTCGGCGCTGGAAAGCAGGCGAGCAAACCATTTAGTTTTGTTTTCATTTTTTTGCAAGCTGGGGCACTAAAAGTAGAGACATGAAAACTGTAACATTAGGAATACATATATGTATTCCAAAGCCATGTTCCTTTAATAGAGATCCTAGCAACACATGAAACATGAAGTCTTATAAAACTTTCTGGCAGCAATGATTTTCATACTTCCTTGAAGAAACTCTTTAAAGTGTCCCCACGACAAATGTGAGATGTGTTGTTTATCTACAGACGGAATGCATTATCACATGACCTCTCTCTCCCACCAAGCACTATCCTGCACCAGGTGTGGTGACGTAACACCCATACAGCGCGTATCTGATAGCATAACCCCGCCCCTCGGAGGTCCGCACGCTATTCCCTCCCCCCGTCGCTCTCACCAGCTATCTCGTTCCGCCTTTATATCTGTGGCCCCCCCGCCCCGTCCCTCAGTACCATTTGGAGCACAGCAGTGTCGTCTCCAGTTGTCGTAGGGCTGCTCGTGTCCGGCTCAAGTCTGGCAGCACGTATGTAACGGGGTCTCCGCTGCCTGTAGCGAGGGAATGATCCCCGGACCGGAGACTTTTTGACATGGCTTGAGAAGAACCGGAGCCAGAGGAGTGTGGATACCGCGCGTATTGTGTGGGTGGCGGGAACTTCAAATATGGCGCCAAGGCGCGGCCTGACCTGCTGTATGGGCGGGATCTGAGTGACCCTAGAGCCAGAGGGGAAAAATAAACTGCAACATTCTATGCAGAACTATAGAACTTTGTACCCAGTATCTCTACATAGCTGCTGT